CACCCGCACCCCGCTGGCACGGCCACGCGTGGGAGCGATGCATCCCCCTCCCTCCTCTCCCCCTCACGCGGGGCTGGCGCCGGGGCCTGCTGGCGCGGGCAGGAGGGCGGGCGGGCAGCGGGGCCGCATCCCGGTCCCAGATCCCGGTCCGTGTTACCCCCCCGGGTTCGCCTTCCCCCCCCGGGGCCGCGGGCGCCGCGCGGGCGGGGCGGGGCGCGGAAGGGGCTTCTTGAAACCGCCGCGCGCCCATTGGCGGAGCCTCGCCCCGCCCACTCCTCCTCTCACCCCCCTTCTCTCCGCACCGCCCCTCCCCGCTCCGCGGGGGCCCGGCGGGGCCGGAGGGCGCCGTCCCCTCGCGCCTGCCCCCGGCCGCGGCCCCGGCCGCGGGGACAGGCGGGGACAGGGAGGGACAGGCGGGGACAGGCGGGGCGGGACGCGGGGCTGGGCCGGGGCGACCGCGGGCACCGCGGGGGGGGCGAGGGGGGAGCAGCGCGGCCGTTCGGAGCAACGGCGCCCCCTGGCGGCGCGACGGCGCCGGTAGCGCGCGGACCCGCCGGGGTCCTGTGTCCGTGTGTCCTGTGTCCGTGTGTCCTGTGTCCGTGTGTCCTGTGTCCGTGTGTCCCCCGGGGGTCCCCCTGTAACCCCTGTGTCCGTGTGTCCTGTATCCGTGTATCCCCAGGGGTCCCCGTGTAACCCCTGTGTCCTGCGTCCGTGTGTCCCCCGGGAGGTCCCTGTGTCCTGTGTCCGTGTGTCCCCGGGGTCCTGTCTCCCTGTGTCCCCCGGCAGGTCCCTGTTGCTGTGTAACCCCTGTGTCCGTGTGTCCCCCGGCAGGTCCCTGTTGCTGTGTAACCCGTGTGTCCCCCGGGGGGTCTCTGTCCCCGTGTATCCCCGGGGTGCTGAGTTCGTGTGTCCACACCTGTCTTGTGCCTCCCCGTGGTTGTCCCTGTTCCCATGTACCCCCGGTGTCCTGTGCCCATGTGCCTATGGGTGCCCTGTGCCTGTGTAACCACTCGGGATGTCCCAGTGTTCATGGAGCCCCCTGGGATATCCCTGTTCTCATGTACCCCCTGGGTGCTCCTGTCCTCACAGACCCTGCAGTACTCTCCCTGCTCTTGTGGACCCCCAAAGCTGTCCCTGTCCCCATGGACCCCCCCTTGGCAGTCCCTGCCCATACGGGCCACCAGCATCTCCCAAACCTTCTCCAGAAGGTCCCGCTTCCTGCTGGCCTTTCCGTGCAGCCCTGAAAGCACCGAGGAGCCCCTGGCGCTCCTTATCCCATCACAGCCACACACCACATGGGTACCCCGTGTCACATGCTGTCCCATTCAAACAAACTCCTTTGCCCTGGGCTTTGGTGTTTGAATTAAACCCAAACTAAACCCCAGAGCAAGCCAGAGCCTGGCTCAGCCCAGCGGCACACAGCCTCCTTCCTCCTCTCCGTTGCAGGGCAGGCAAGCTGGCCTTAGGAAAATTAAGTAAATACCAATGGAGGAGTTGAAAAATGGGTTACCTTGTAATTGATTTTTTTTTTCTGCCTGCAGCTAAAGAATAATTAGCCTCCCTGCTATCTTGTGCAGCCTGAGTGTTTGAGAACGTACTAGGGTGTGTAGTAGCTGAAGGGGTGGTGTGACAGCTCCTTTCCCACAGCCTCACTTCTGAGATCGGCTTTTTTTTTAGTGCCTTTCCCCAGCCTTTAAACTCTGGGTGCTGCCAGGGAAAACTAAAGCTTTGATAGCTTGGAGGAGCCAAGAACAGGACTGCTGGCAGAGTGATGCAGCCCTGATCCTGTGCCAGGAGACTGGGGAGAGCCCCTCTCTGAGGGAGACCCTGGCTCGTGGGGTGCCAGTTCATCACTGTGTCTAATCACCCCATCACATCATTTCATCGTGCCAGTTCGAGCTGCTGCTGCCGCCGTGGGATAGCAGAGCCAGTCTGGATGGGAGGGTGGTTCAGGGCAGAGTACCCCAATGCTGGTCTCTGAGCGGTTGGAGGGTTCATCCTCCCCTGTTCAGAGGTATGCAGGACCCCCAGCCCGGTCTCTCCTCCCTGGTAATGCAGAGCTCCTGATGCAGAGAGACAACATGAGGGTTTGATTTATGAAGTGCATTAGAATCACTTTTTTCCTCTTTTCCGTAACAAGCTGTTTACACAGTGGTGACTGTGTGCTTCCCTCCCTTCTTGCCATTGGCACCCAGGTTTTGGGGGGCATTTTCCAGGGGGAAGAGACCTTCAGCTCAACCTTGAGTACTGTACTGTCATCAGACATGGGGAGAGATGCTTGGTTGCCCCCAGAGACCAGCCTCCCACCCCTGCTTCATGCTGAGGGCGTGGGGTCCTGCACAGACCCTCTCAGGGGCTGTGCCTCCAGATGCTCTGGGTGCTGAATGTGGGTGACTGCGTGGCTGGGGGCTCGTGAGTGATTAATGAATCCCATAGTTGGGAGTGGGGTCCCTGCTAAGGGCAGTTCAGGGCACCCTGAAAGCCTGTCCAAGCCCCTGGCATCGTGGTCCCCCCAGCAGCAAGTGGAGGGCTGGGGTCTCAGTCTCCAGTAGCCCCATCCCTGGTGTGGGTCCCACTCCTGGCCTCTCACAGTGCTGGGATTAGATGTGGCTGCACCAGTACCATGCTGGTACTTGCCAGCATCCCCTTAAAATCTGAGAAAATCTACATTTCGGCAAAAATCTGCCTCATGCTGCAGCCCCTTTTGCCCGCTGCTGAGCCCCTGAGCAATTCATTCTCCCAACTACTCCAGAAGCGATAAAACCAATAGGTCACTTTTTTTTTTCCTCAGCAGTAATTAATGGTTTAATTAACACTCACGACATCCAATTCCCATTGCTTTGCATGAGCAGCCTCCACTGCTGGGGCCTCACTGTGAACTCTCCGATAACTGGGGGTGGAAAGGGTTAGTCGGGAGCTGGTGGGAGCTGCCGGCTGGAGGCCGCCCATCTGGCCCGGATTTCTTCCGAAGCTGGAAAGTTCTCCTCCTCCTGAGCAGCAGCGGCATATCCAACACGTTCCACAGCCTGCTCTGCTTTTGCACGGGCTTATTTACTGTGTGGTGGCTTTTACAGCCGAGGAAGAACACGGGCGCCATGAGCACAGCCCTTCTTATTTACCCTGAACGATTTTCCAGTGTTTTAACACCAATCCCCGAGAAATTTTAGTTGTCCCAAGGAGAATAGCTGCTTGTAACCGGTTCTAATTACAAGTATGAATGTCAATTAATTCATTTAGCTAATTATCCACTCTCTGAGCATCACGCACCAAAGAACTGTAAAAGACGGGCATATGGTGATGGATCAGAAGGAAGGAGCTGGTGCTGGTGTGTGCTCGCTGGGCAGCCAGGGCTGGGTGTGCCAGGGTGAAGGGATGCAGGCAGTGTGAGAGCTGGGGGAATTACAACATTATGCTAATTGGGCCTGGAAAACATCAACTCTCTCCCTGCAACTTTTGTTTGGAGGCTCGAGCACGGGTCAAGCATCTGAAGTGTTTCTGATTGTGCTGTTCCCTCTGACTTGGAGGAGTGGGAAGAATCATTTTCCCTTCCTGGAGCAAACCTTTTGATCCTAATCTGTAGCTGCAGAAACAAACAGTCCTAAGGAGGGAGGGAGAGATCCCTGAAGAGCTTCCTGGCCAGGAGCCTCCATGCTAAAGGTGGGGAGATCTTCTAGAGGATGCTTGCTGCAATCTGGTTTGCAGGGCACCTGGGCTGCTGCGAGTGCGTAGAAAACCATCTTGGTGAGAAATATCTTATTTGCTGTCCCAAAAGAGAATGCTTTAAAGGAAATGTTATTTTCTGAAATAATGAGAGTTAATTGCATCTGGGTTTGCAGAGTTACCTGCAAGATATGAAAGGGGTTGTGCTGTCCTGTCCCTACTCTGAGAATGAAGAATTACAGATTTTATACAAGCAGCTGAGCAGGAAATGCTCAGTGGGGTTAAAGTTCCAAGGCAACAATCTTCTTCCAGAGGGAATCTCCATCACCATAATTGGATCAATCTGCTGGTGCAGTGTGGAGCTGCTTCTTCCATCTCCCAAAGGCTCCAACCACCAGTGGGCAAGCACTGCCTTGAGCTGGGCCACCAGTTCCATCCCAGCCTGGCCCAGCCTTCACAGAGGTATCCAGGTGTCCCACCTCACCTGCACCCAGGGCTAGGGTTCTGATGAATCCATATCCAGCCTAAAACTGAGGTTGCTGAGGCAGGAGCTTTTGCTCTGTTTCAGTGCTTGGTTATTCTCATTTACCAAAAAAAGTGATGCCTTATTTCCTATTGAATTTGCCTAATTATTTCTCTGCTGGCTTTCCAGTGGCAACACTTGTGCTGCCAGTGCCTGCCAGAAGCTTTGATCAAACTCTTGTAGGTCGATTACCAAGATTCACTTATAAAAGTTGTACATCAAATACAAATAGAACATCTCCCCCAAACCCAGTAGTCATTATTGTGGTGACATGGTAATTTGCATTTTATTTCCTTGTTTAAAAAAAAAGAAAAAGTTTTTGTGATAAACCCTGTTAAAGGTACTTCAAAGGCAGCAGAGCCAGGGAGCAGCTGTGTGGGTTGGAGTGGCTCTGGAGAAGTTTGCTGAGGCTTTCCCAGCATGGTGTCCGTGCCTGTGGCTCTGGGGAAAATACAGATATTTTCCGACAAGTTTAACTGAGTGCCTCTCACTGGGGTGGTGGGAGGAGAAGAGAGGGTGACGAATGGCCTGGGGAGGGGACCCAGGACCTCATTCCAGGGGCTGCTCCCTGGGGAGAGATGAAGGAAGCCGGCAGGACCCTGCTCCGCAGAGCTGTTGGCAGCGTTCCGGTGCCTCCCGCCACGCTCCCTGGCTCTGCAGCCAGCCAGACACATTCCCTCCTGCATCCAGAGCCAGCGTTCTGAGCGCCGGCCATTTTCCAGGGAAGAGCAGATCTGCCAAGCGCTACCTTAAGAAAAGTTATGCATGACCATATTTAAGGAAGCGGGAGGGGGTGTGCGCTGGCCCCGTCCCAGGGCTCCGCGCCAGCCTGGCCTCGACGCCCGTGCTCGGTGCCGGCCGAGCTCGCAGGTGTCCGGACGCTTCTCCTCCGAGCCAGCCATCGCCTCGACACCTCCCGCAAATGCTTAGCTTCTTCTGGCTGAGGTGAGGGCTGTGGGGAGCCGGGGACAAGGGGGGGAACCCCACAGCTGAGTGAGCGTGAGCCAGTGTCTGGCGCTGCTGCAGAGTTCCACTCCCAGCAGTGGAGCGGTGGCTTGTCCTGGCTTGCGTCGGTGCTGGGCAGCTCTGCCAGGGGGAAGGTGTGGAGTGAAAGCCCTTTGTGCCCCTCTGGTCGCCCGGGTGATGCTTTGTTGCCCGTGGGGTTTGCACTGAGGTGTGCTGGTGCTCCACTTCGGTCGGCACTGGCGACTTGTCAACGGGGACGTGGCACCCTCCGGCTGCAACAGGGACAGTGGGGGAGGGTTGGCTTGAATCAGCTTTTTTTTTCGCTTAAAAGCAGGGGCAGATATTTGGGAAGCATGGGCACAGGGCTGTGGGGAATGGTGGTGCCAGGATGGCAGAGGGGTGTACTGGGTCTGGTTGGGGCAGTGTGGGTGGCTGGGTGGCACAATGTTGCACTGGTCTTCACCTCCATGGTCTCAACTGAGGTGGTCTTGGCCATGGTAACTGCCATGGTGGAGGCCACCACGGTAGAGACTACTGCACCACCTGGGTAGTTTTCGCCCCAGGGGTCTCAACCATGGTGACCCCCACAGTGGAGACCACCACAGTGGAGACCTCCAGGGTGTAAACCATCTTGGTCTCCACTATGGTGGTTTCCAGCTTGGTGAGCTTGACTGTGGTGGTCTTAACCCCAGTTGTATTGATGTTATGGCAATCTCCACCCTGGGAGTGCCGTGGGTGGCAGGGCAAAGGTGCGTGGGCTGGGTGATGCTGTTGGATGTACCCATGCATGTGAATTTTGGCCCTCTCGGGGTTTGCAGTTGTGCCAGGGTGACACGTGGCTCTGCTCTCCCCCTGGGCCAGAGCCAGACCTTTGTCCCCTGGGACACTCCCTGAGGGACTTCACCCCTGTGCTGGCAAACCAGCACCAGCCTTCCTGGGAGCCTCACGGGAGCTGCAGAGAGCATCTGGGCAGGGGTATGGATGGGGCTGCGGGCATGGCCGGGGCTGGGGATGCTTCACTCTGTGATGGAAAGGGATGTGAGGGGACTGGAGAGGTCCCTGCTGCGCTCACCCTGAATTAAGCTTTCCCATGGGTGATGGTTGTAAAGCCCTGACCCCTCGTAAGAGGAGTCATTCTGCATCTTCCCATTGCCTTTAACCCTTGGTTTGTACTTTCCTGGCCTCATGCCTGGCTTTGCTCTGTGAACTCTTGGGAAACGTGATGTATGGTGCCAAAAATACCACTTGCAGGGTGCCCTGGCCTTTCTCCTGGGCCGGCTGCCCTCCTGGGGTCCCACTGAGACCAACTGCAGGGAACCGCTGTGTTTCCTCACTTATGTTTCCTCAACTGTGCGGTGACCCAGCAATTCAGTCCATTTTGTCCCACTGGGTCTTATCTTGGGGACCCAACACCATCCTGATGGGCATGGGGTGATGGAGTTGAGCTGTTCTGGGTGTCTCTGTTGCCACTTACCAGTGGGGGTCCCACGGGACGAGACATCTCCCCTTGCACAAAACCTGCCTGTCTCATCCCTGGGAGCACCAGGGCTTTGCCCCTGCTGGCACTGGGACTGTCAGGCCGGGTCTCAGGGGATGGAGAGCCCTCACTGCCCTGTGGAGATGGCAGAATTTCCCAAAGTAGGTCAGGTTAATTTTTTAACACGTGCAGATTTGCTTGTTACCATGGATATTGCTCAATTATACACCAATAATCCCCCATGAGAACTTCATTGTTGCCGCTTTCTTCCCCTCCATCTCCCCCCTTTTTTTTTCTTCAAATATTTCCAGGGAGGGGTAAGGTTGAGGGGCTGGGGTGGGAGTAGGAGGCAGAGCCAGGCCAGGAAAAATGGGGATTAGGTGTTTGGGAGGCAGCAGCGGGATGATGGGAGAGCTCTGAGGGCAGGCAGGGGTGGCTTGAGGTGTGAGGCTGCCCCACTCTGCCCAAAGCCCCCCACAGCCCAGCACCGGTGACCCCAGTTTCACCCTTGTCTGTCCCTCTCATCCACTGCTTGGGGGTGGCTAAAGCAAACCCCCTGCTTCCACTAGGTTCAAGGATTTGAGGTACAATCACTCTTCTGCATCCTTGCCTGGCATCATCCCAGGGGCTGTGGAACCCAACAGGGTTTACAATGAAGACTTTCAAGCTGGTGGTCCCCTTACGATTCCCAAAAAGGCTGGCACCCAGTTCAGCAGCAGAGACCTTCCCTAGAGCTTGTGGGTGTTTTGCTGCTGTGGGACACAGGGAATAGGAGAGCTGTGGGATCTCTCTCCCTTGATATTTGCAGATTCCTTGGAATGTCTCCCCCACTGTGCCCTCCCTGGTTTGCTCTGTGGGCTCCTTATGCCTTCGGCAGTGCAGAAACCGAGCATGGCAGGAAGCAAGAAAAATATTATATTGGAAGAGATTTTTTCCTAATGCAAACTTTTTCTTTTTTTTTTGGATAGAAGTGGGTCACTCAAGGGGTGACAGAGTAAGAGCATCATCGCCTGGGTACTGCATCCCGTTGCCATGGTGACCTGAGGGCTGCATCAGTCAACAGCTTTAAAAATGTGACAGTTGAGTGAGGCTGAAGATTTTAATGAGGACAGACACTTGCTTGCTTAGTTTCGATAACAAATACTCCATAAATACTCACTGGCTGGATGGTTCCACGTCTCTGGAGCGTGGCTGGGGTGCTCCCCTTCCCCAGGGTGGGAGTGTGGGCTGGGGCTGCCTGGGAAATAGCAGGGGGATGATGCAAAGCAGACAGCTCTGTTTTTTTCCCCCTCCTGCTAACGCAACCCAGGGGACAAGCTGACACGATTGCCGAGCCAGGAGCAGGTTTGGGTTTCCAAGGAATGTCCCTCAGGCGCTGTCTGCTGTGGCTATGGGGTGTAACAGGACCGCCCCTAGCCACCGATTGTGCCTGCAATTAGGGAGCAAACCCATTTTGCTAAACAGGACAGTAACCCTTGCACTGGGCTCTTGTAAGGGTGGGTGAGCCATAAGGAAGCTCCTAGGCCTCCATAACAAGGCTGGAGAGGTCATGGGGCTGGGAAAACAAAACACGGTGCCAATGGGGCAAGGGTGGGAGGCTGTGAGAGGCTCAGTGGTGCCATTTACATCTGTAGGTGACCTGAGAACCCTTGTTTTGTACCAGTGCTATGTGATGCCCCAACCTCAGCCCCTGCAAAGGGCTGAGGGTGCAGGAGGCAAACCTGCAGCTTCCACTTTTTTAACCCTGTGCTAAAATCAGTCAATCCCACACCTTGGGAAAGGAGCTGCTGCCTCCAGCAGCCTGGTTGTACCTGCGTGGGAGAGGGATGTGTGCTGGGAAGCTGAAGGCATGCCAAGGGCCCAGCGGTGTTGTGTTTAAAAGCAAACTGTAAATATAAAGCCCCTTCCACTTATGTTTTGCTGCAGCTCCCACTCTGCCTTTCCTTGCAATGCCACCACGATGTCCAACTGGGACCCAGTCACCATGCGTGTGGCCTGGGAGCCTGAGGGCACCCAAGGACACACAGTGCCCTTGTGGAATGCCAGGGCTTCAGAGACAGAGGGGCTGGAGCACAGCACAGTGGCGTTGCTGGCATTGTGTGCTTCCCATTTGCTGCCCCTAGTACCACCCGTGAACAGCCTGAGCCCTGCCCACTGCCAAAAATATGCTCCTGGCTGTCTTGTGACTGCGGCGGTGTCACCACTCTGGCCAGGGGAGCTTCAAGGCACAGTCCTCTCTCACGTGTAGCAACACGGGGAAGCACTGACGCAGCATCACTGATGGAGGGATGGGCCATGACCCTGTGCCCTGGGCTCGGTCCAGCACCCTAAAATAGCTGGACTCTTTCATCGCAGCCAGTGAGCATGGGTCCTGACCCCCAAGGAATGGCAGGCACCAGTCCCGGTTCTGCCCTTCTCTGTTTCGGCTCGGGCAGCTCCCTAATAGGTGCTGGTGAGGGGTAAGTGGTGCGGCGAGGGACGTCAGCTTGGGATGTGGGGACAGGGTGTGACAACCCGACACACACACTGTCTTGTCCCTGCTGGGAAACAGCCACTCCCGATCTGCCAGTCCTGCTGTAACCAGAGCCACTCTTCTGCTTTCCAGGTGTCTCTTAAAAATGGTCAAGGGGAATATTGTAGTCCCTGAAGAGATCTTGAACTTCTGTTGCAATGGCCTCCAGGTACCCCCCATGCCGTGCAACTAACCCCAGGGCTCCCCAGTTGTGCCAGTGGCTACTAACCAAGGCAAATGCCATCCTGTGCCAGGAGCTGCTCCCAGACCTGCACTGGCCCCAGTTGCATCTGCTCCCCATCAGCACCCCTGCCTGTGTGCTAGCTACCTCAGGGTCAGAGCTTTTCCCATGGGTAGCAACTTTTCCCCTAAAATTCAGGAATGTCAAACACCAGGAAAATGACCATTGGGATCTCCAGCCAGGCTGTCTGCTCGCTCTGCAGCAGGCAGCTTTGGAGCTCTTTGCATTGCTGGCTCGAACCCCAGAGCCTGCTGGCTTCCTGAAATAGCTCTGTGGTACTTGTGTAGGCGCCTCTGCACACCGGGAAGCAGCTTGGGAGGTTCACAGAGGGGTTTGGAGCCCACTGGAGGGGCTCTGGTGGCCGAGGGTCCATCTCACTGTGGGATGGGGGGCCCTTTACCGTAGGCTTGGCTTGACGCGCTCGCCACCGTCTCCGCTGAGGCGAGGTTTGTGCTGTTCCTGGGATGTCGTGTACCAGTAGCTATGGAAACAGAGGTTTGACCCGCTGGAGAAAAATGCTATTCTGAGAGGCAGTGAGCTCAGGGTAGTCGGGAAAGCTTCATTTTCAGCATAAACCGGTCTTTGAAAGAATCCAGGCAAAGCAAAGGGCAGAGAAGCTGCTGCAGTGGGACTCTTCAACAAGTGCTGTGAGCAGGAGCCGCAGTGGGAGCAGAAAGCGGAAGGAAGGGCTGTGACGAAGCCCAGACAACTCTTCGTGTCTCCTTAATTACTCACTGGGCTAACTGAGTTCACCCCTTGTGTAACACGACTCACTTGACATCTCATCTGCTATTTTCCTTGCCAGCACCGCCACAGTAGCAGCTTCTCTCTCCCATCCTGCCTCGCACGGGGGTGCCAGGGGAGCTGCTCTGTGCCCAGCAAATGGCCAAGCCAACAGGGAACATATTTTACTGCCCTGGATGCTTCTCCTCTGCTGCTTGTACCACATAGCTTTCACTGTTTTCTTTGGCAAAGGGGGGTGTTGGTGGAACGTGTGGAACACTGCTACATACCCAACCACAGGAGAGTGAACCCAGCCTGTGCTGCAGCACCCTAAAAATTAAGCTGTTAGGGGAGAAAAATTTCTTCACAGAGAACTGATTGACTTAGGGAGGGGTTTTGCATGGGTTTTGGGAGGAAGCAGTGGGGTTTGGTGATAAATGGCCTGGAAACCATGGAGCTTTTTTTAGAGGGATTTTTTTCCTTTTGGCTGTGGGAACTATGTATTTGGCAAGGACTGGGTGGATTTTGGTGGTGTCCAGGGATATGCAGGGCTGGGGTTTTTCTGGATCAGTGAGGGGAGTGGGCTTCATGGTCACTGCTGTCTTGGGGGTTTGGTTAAAACGGAGCTCTTGTCCCACCAGGGCTCAACCTCTCCACCACGTTCCCAGGAGCCAGGGGAGCGGGAGGAGGCACCAGGGGCCATGGCGAGCCCCTTGCCTGCCCGCAACCCCACCGAGGTGCAGATGAGCCAGCTGGTGCTGCCCTGCCACACCAATCACCGCAATGAGCTCAGCACTGGCCAGCTGCTCAAGTGGATCGACACGGCCGCCTGCCTCTCCGGTAAGCCATCCTATCCCTCTGGAGCCATCGTCCTGCTGGGCTGGGAGGGAATGACCAGGCAGTGTCCCCAGGAGCCAGCTTATCAGCAGCATGCCTGGCAGTCCAGCACTGTCCCTCAGAGTGACGCCAGCTGGGGACCCCACATCATGCCATTTTGCTGAGTAATTAGAGAGCAAACAAGAAGGGGAGGAGATGTGCACTGCAGCATGCATGCTGGCTTAGGAATGGATCAAAATCCACGCCAACTTCTTTCAAAATGCTGCCCTTTTCCTTGCCTGGTGTGCAGGGCATGGAGAGACCAGGCCAGTGACATCCCCAGCATCCTAGCAGCAGCCAGAAGGGAATGGGCTCCTCAGCGGGAAGTGATGGAGCTCACCAGCTTGGCTGCCCCACCAAGCACAGGGGGGTTATGACAGGAAACAGGTTCAATTCTGCAGTTTGATGAGGTTCCCACAGCAGTTTTGCAGTTTGAGGTTCCTGGAGTCCCAATGGAAAGTGAGACCGGCAGAGCGGCTTTAAAATATTTGCTATGTATGGGGAGATGGTATTGGCTGCTGGTGCATCCCCACAGCTGCAAACACACGAAGGGAAGGCAAACAGCAGGACAACGTGCCTCCCAGTTATACTCGCAGCACACCCTCCAAACCTTTAAACATCTGCAAATCCATGCTGCTGTGGGAGGAGAAACCCCAAATCCCACTCTTGTCCCCCATAGATGCAGCAGTGGACATGAGCAGGGAAGGGATGCTGGCTGGGGTGTCACCAGTGTAACCAGCCATGGGGCAAAGGAGCGCACTTGCCCCTCTAACCCTCGACGTGTTGCTGCAGGTTGCTGATGCAGTTTGTTTTTCCCTTCCAGCCGAGAGACACGCTGGCTGCCCGTGCGTCACAGCTTCTATGGATGATATCTATTTTGAGCATACCATTAGGTAAATACTTGGTGCTCCAACAGGGCATGTGCAAGGAAATGGAGGGGTTTTTCCCATCTGCCGGGTGCAATGTGGACAGTGGGGCTGGAGCTGGAACAGGGAGCAGCGTGTTTGGGAGAGGAGGAGATGTGGTGGCAGTGCCAGGCTCACAGGCCAGCCAGGGATTGAGGCTCCATCTCCACCGCAGCGCTGAGGACTGACTGTCTGCTCTGATTTATCCTCTGTCTGGGTGCCTGGAGAGCTCCTACTGGGTTGGCTTCTTCCCGGTATTTCCCCCAACGCCAGCTCCTCCCTGGCTTTGTTTAAGAAGCAACTCTGATTTAGTGCTCTGGAAAACTCAAATCTTGCAAATCGTGCCTCTCTAGTGGCCATGTGGGTGGCTGGGGCGTGGTGGGGCTCCCCCACCCACCGGGTGCTGGGGGAGGTGGGACCTCCCTGCACATCACTTTGTGAGATGCATCAGGCTGGGTTTTGCTTGGCCAAACTCCCCTCACAGGCTTGTCCTGGCAGCCTCTGGGTGCTGTCCCTGCACCCTGACATAGGCAGCCCCAGGGCTGCTGTGTGGCAGGGGACAACATTTCTCTACATCCCTGCCATGTAGTATAGGATCCGTGCAGTATAGGATCCCTTGCAGTACAGGATCTACACTGTCCAGCCATTCCCTGCTGTGCAGGTCTGCCTGCTGGTGCAGGGACCAATGTGGGCACCCAGGGCTGGCACTGGGGTCCCCAGCTGTCAGCTGATTTATTTCACCCTGGGAAGTCCGACTCACTCTTGGGTTTCACCGTCATTCCCAGGAAATGCTGAACTCCCACTTTTGCCCTCTCATACTGGATGCTGGTGGGTTGGTGGAGATGAGCTGCCCATTGCCCTGGCCTCAGCTCCATGACAAATCCACAGTGTGGGGACGTGGTGCAGCCCTGATGCCACCTCCCACTGGCAGAAGTGGCACCACTGGGGTTGATACCCTGCCACATGGCTCCAGCTCCCAGGGCAGCTGGGAAGCTTTGCCTGGGAAGCTTTTCCCCATGGGTTTCGGGAGCAGGATGACAGATGCAAGCCCTGCTCCGCAGCATTACATCAAGCCCTGAAAAGCATTTGTCTCTCCTCAGGGAAGAGTTGGGCACTACTCCAAGGGGTCAGGGAATTTGTGCTGCTCCTGGCTCAGATCCCATTTGCTGTGGTCCAGCTTAAGGCTCCAAGCAAGGGGCCTGGCAGGGATTTCCCGCAGAGCTGTTGGAGGGCAGAGGAGCTTTATGTGGTGTTTGTTGTTGGCTCTTCTCCTCATCCAGCTGTTTGTGCTTTCTGCTTCCCTCCCGCTGTGGGGGAGAGGCAGGGAGGAGCTGTAGATGCCTGGGGGCACGGAGGAGACCCCAAAACATCACTGGCTTAAAACTCATCAGCTGTGCAGCAGATCGTCCCCGTCCCTCTGCCCTGCCATGTGGAAGTGCGGCCTCCCGGGATGATTGCACGTACCTTTGAGCCAGGCTTTGTGTGGCTTTTATGGCCCTGGCTTGTACTGTTTGATAAGGAGAGAGAAGATAAAGTATTTTTGGGGCTATGTATCAACATCTGGGGCTGCCAGCATGCCTTCCTGGCCCCCTGCCCTTGCATGCCCCTCACCTCAAATCCATCCGGAGCATCCGTGTGGCCGCTTCCATCGCCTCTAACCCTCTTCCCCCATCTTGCTTTCTCTTTTTGCACCAGCCAGCTGTATCTAAGCCCTGCTGGGCAGCGAGACGGGAGGAGCGGTGTCTGGTACGGATGTTTGCAGCCCTAGAGCAGCCAGTCTAACGCAGCTCTGCCGTGAGTTGGGAGCATTAACCCCACTGACGTGGCATGGCATGGCATGGTGAATGGAGGCTGCTCATGTAACCTTGCTAATGTTTTGGCTTGTCATTGGGCCCAGAGTCTGTGCTGGGGGATGGCTGGAGGCACCATCCCAGCCTCAGGCTGCCCCTGCTCCAGCCAGAGCCAACGTGCACAGTGTGTGGAGTAGCAGAGATCATTTGAAGCCAGAAGTCATGCAGGGGGGTAAGGGGAAAGTTACAGTGCTGAAGCACATGCTGACTCTTCCTTGCTTCTGGTTTTGAGCCCTCTATGGAGCAAACCTGCAGTGATGGTGGCAGCGTTTATTTTTCCAGGGTTTCCTAGCATTGGCCTCTTTTAGGGAATGAGGAATATTCCTGATTTAATAATGCATTTGATAAGACTGTTTGCTGTGGGTCTCACTAATAAGCTTCATTTGCTCATTTTGTGAGTACCAGTTTGGAGTAGGTTAGGCTGCAGAGCCAAAGTTGTCTGTGTGTTTGATCTGAAGCCTGCTGAGGGCACAGAGGAGAGCTCCTGGACTCTGCAAGCTGCAGTTTGCTGCCAGCAGATGTTCAATTTAAGAGATGGTGCAAAATGCCCCTGGCTGGATCCTGCCTCCTGCAATCTCCCAGTATCCCAAGGTTTCCATTGCTCTAGGGGGGCCCTGGAGAGGAGGAGGGACAGGAGCAGTCAAGATACCTGCAGCTTTGGGGCTGTGGCTGAGGGCCCGTGGGGAGGCCCCACGGCTGCTCCTGTTGTGCAGGACAGTGGATGCAAGGCTGGAGGAGCCGTTTGCTCTGGCAGGAGTGTGCATGTCTACATAGGCAGTGGGTGCCAAGCAAGTCTTTGGCACCTCCTCTGCTCAAGCACCCCAGACCTGGGGACCTACTTGCACACAGCTGCTCAGGGTGACATCTCACCAGCTGGGCTGGACAGGTGTGGGATCTCATGTCTCAAAGGTGGCTATGTCCTGCTGGCCATCCAGGATGGCCATCCTGCTGGCTATGTCCCTATGTCCTGCTGGCCATCCAGGATGTCCCACAGTCCCAGGAAGCCTTACCACAGTGGACAGTGGGCTGTAATGCTGTGTCACCTCAGTGGGAGCTGCTCGGTGGCCGTTTTCCCCCAGTAACCCCATGCACTTTCTCCTGTTTCTGTTTTTCAGTGTCGGGCAAGTTGTCAACATCAAAGCCAAAGTGAACCGAGCCTTTAACTCCAGCATGGAGGTTGGTGTGTGCCCCTCACCTTCACCCCCTGCCCCTGTCCTCCCTTGCTGTGCACCCACCCCCACCAGCCACACAGCCAAATGCCAAATCCCCAAATCCTCCTGCAGTTCCCAGCTTTGATCCCATGTGTGTATCCTCTCTGGCTGGCTCTGTCCAGGGGTGCTTGGTGGGATGTGGGTCCCTGGGGAGCAGAGCCGGCTCTCAGGGGTGCTGTGCCCTCTCCCAGGTGGGCATCCAAGTAAGCTATGAAGATCTGTGCAGCGGGAAGCACTGCAGTATCTGCAAGGCGTACGCCACCTTCGTGGCACAGGGCCCCTCTGGCAGCAAGGTGAGCATGGTGTCTTGGGGGGCTCAGTTGTCATCTGCACAGAGGCAGTAAGGAAATGGCCTCTCTGGGGCTGAGCTGGGTCTGGCTTTCCATCAGGACACTTTCTGCACACAGTAGGGTTGATGATCCCTTGTCCCGTGCTTGTGGGATGCAGCGTGGGGGCTCTGCCCACGTACAGTGGGCTTTAGGAGCCTGAAGGAGCCCTGCCTCCTCCAGCACCAGGACTGCACTGCCCCATCCCCTTTGCAGGTGAGGCTGAAGCCACTGACCCCACAGACGGAGGAGGAGAAGATCGAGTACAGCATCGCTGCTGAGCGCCGCCGCATGCGGCTGGCGCACAAGGACACCCTCAAGGACCTCCTCACCCGCAGCCGCCCTGACACCGGTACCGTGTCTCACAGCCTGGGTTTCCATCCCCAAAATAGCCCTGATGCCCACTGGTGACAATCCCCTTCCTCAGCAGGATGCTGATGGGGAACAGTGATGATCACCACGTGGAGGTTTGGGAAGGCCCTGGTCATGGCAGGGTGGGGATCAGCCCCACTATCCCAGACAGTGTGTGTGAGGTTGATGCAGTGGGAGGGCAGCTGTGAGGAGAGGGCGAAAGGGCTGGTGGGATGCTGGTAGTGGGGATCCCACTGGCCATCCAACATGCTGAACCCTGTTCTCTCAATGTGGCAGAGCTGGAGACGCGGGATGGCAGCGGGGCAGTGCCGGCGGAGAAAACGCGTGTGGAGAGTGTGGAGCTGGTGCTGCCTCCACACGCCAACCATCAGGGCAACACCTTCGGTGGGCAGATCATGGCCTGGATGGAGAACGTGGCCACTATTGCAGCCAGGTGACCCAAGAGAGATTCAGTGTAGGGGATGGTGTGCCTGGAGGGGACACATAGCCAGGGCAGAGTCTGACTGGGTGTGACCACAGTTGGGTTGTAGGGACCTTCCAAAGGGATGGTCCCTGGCACGTCACCCTTGGGCGATGCCATATAGGGAGTCCCACGGATGTGTAGAGCTGGGGGACCCCAGGGAAGGGTTGGCTCATTGTCCTTTCTCATGGCTGGCTTTGACAGTTGAAATCCAGGGGTGACGTTTTTTGGGGTCCTCTTGGTTCTGACAGGGTTGGGGAGGGTGTGCCATGGGGCCATGGCTGGGGAGTAACACCTGACCCTGCAGCCGGCTGTGCCATGCCCACCCCACACTGAGGGCCATCGAGATGTTCCACTTTCGGGGACCTTCGCAAGTTGGGGACCGCCTGGTGCTCAAAGCCATCGTCAACAATGCCTTCAAAAACAGGTGGGTGCTGGAAGCAGGAGGTCCCCATCCCACCTGGAGGGGTCCCCATCCCACCCTCCTGACAGCTCTCCGCACCCTCACCCCTTCTTCTCCGGCAGCATGGAGGTGGGGGTCAGCGCCGAGGCGTACGGTCGGGAGATGTCCGTCAGCCCGCGGCACATCAACAGCGCCTTCATGACCTTCGAGGTGCTGGACCAGGAGGGCCGGCCCCGCGTGCTGCCCATGGTGGCTCCCGAGCCAGGGGTAAGGATGGGCAGGGATGGCTTCTCTGGAATTCCCTGGACCCCTGGGAATCCCACTCAGCCCTGAGGGGCTCTCAGATTCACAGCAAAACAAATGCAGTTTTATGATGATGGAAATGAAATTGCTCAATCGCAAGTGAATTAAATGGATTGCTCGGTATAACTAATAAAATAAACCACTTGCCTGTGCGAGGATGGAGATGTATTAGCCATGCAAGGCTTAACAGAGCATTGCCTGCAAATTCCAGTTCATTTTTTCTATAATTTAGGGGAAGGAATGCAAACCTCTGAGGTTGTTTTTACTTTTCAAAGCATCCTAATCAATAATTTGCTCAGATCCAGATATTTAAGGAAATCTGTCATGTGAGCTTAGCAACAAAGCAAACTCAATCTCAGCTTCCCCTGGGCTGATCCTTGCCCACCTGCCTGATTTTTTGGATGCCTTAAAACTAGGATCTCCCTAGGATGATCCCTAGGAAGATCATCTCATGGCCAGAGTCAGGCTCCCTGAAACCTCATATCTACCTGCTTTAAAACACTGCACTAGCACTTTCTTCAAAACAGGCTGGCTTCTTTGGGGTTTTATTCACCCAAGAGAGGGCATTGGCAGGTGTAAGGGGACATGATTTGTGTTTCAGGGGCTGTTTGCAGCTTTGCAGCCACAATAAGGGTTTTCCCTAATGTGCCAGTGCCCATCATTGATCACACCGTGGTGGCAGTGCCCAAATAGCTCACAATTAATCACTAACCAGCACTGCAGTGTAGCTGGGGTGACAGCCAGTGAGTGCAGGGGCTTTACCTTCCAGCCCTTCCTGCTGCATATTTTTCCCACTCCCAAAAAGACAAATGATTGAGTTTTTTCCTCCTTTTCCTATTAACCTAATTGGCTTTTCCCATTTATCAGGATGGAGAAAGGAGGTACAGAGAAGCCAGTGCTAGGAAAAAAATTCGGCTGGACCGGTGAGCAGAAAAGCAAGTGGGATGTGGGTATGGAGGAGGGAGGAGAGAGTGGCTCAGCACTTGGGTGCAGGGACAGTCTGTGGGTTCTTTGTGTCCCATCATAAGGGAAACTGTTCCTTTCCTGCAGAAAATACGTCGTCTCCTGCAAACAGACCGAGGTACCACTCTCTGTGCCCTGGGATCAAAGCAACAAGGTAGGATGCTTCCCTGCAGGAGCCTCTGCCTCCTGCCCAACCTCCTGCCCCTGCTCTTGCCCCTGACATGCTGCCCCTGCCCCAGGTTTATCTGAGCTACAACAACGTCTCTGCGCTGAAGACACTCGTAGCCAAAACAAACTGGGCACTTGCCAGAGAAAAGGAAAAGGTACTAAACCCTGCCCCTTCCTCCTGAGCTGCCCCTCGCCCCCAAAGCATGGGCAACGTGGGGGCTTAGTGATGGGGAACACATCCCAACCGTGCCCTGTGCTCCCCAAGGTGAGGATGTACACGCTGGAGGAGGATAAATTCCTGTCCTTCCGCATCGAGATGTCTGTCTGCATCATGGCCAGCCAAGCCTTCTCCCTGCTCTCCAACCTGCGGCGCCGGCACGAGTGGGACAGTCACTATGCGTGAGTGCTGTGGGGCTCCTGGGCACGCAGCCCTTCCCAAAAATCACACTTCTAAATTTAGGGCTTGTGGTTGAGCATCCGTTTGGGCTTTCCCGGGAGCAAGTGTGTTGCCCTGGAGCCATGATTGCTCCTAGAGACCCTCCACTGCATGTCTCCATCCTGACTCTACCTGGGCTAATGGCTGCAGAAAACATTTATTTTGGGTCCCCCCAAATATTTTGGATCTGGTGGTGGGCTGTAAATGTGTAAGCCCCCAGATTTGGGGGGCACAGTGGGGTTTCTGTGACCGGTTGCCTCCCCTTGCAGGAGTGCTGAGCTTGTCCAGAAGGTAGATGACGATGACATGATCTACCACGTGGTGAGCCGGATGCACAGACAGGAGAGCAAGCTGCAGGACTTTGTCATCCTGGCGTCCCGGCGGAAACCCTGCAGCAAGGGGTAACTGTCCCTAGCCCGACTCCCTGCTTCCTGCCAGCTGAGCTGTGCCAGCTCACCTGGCCTCTCTCCTTCCCAGGGACCCCTATGTGGTGGCCTTTCGATCGGTGACACTGCCCACCCACCCCCCACGAGCTGAATACACACGTGGGGAGACGCTCTGCTCTGGTTTCTGCATTTGGCCGGAGTCAGAGGAGATGAGCAAGGTGGGATGCTGTGACCATGCTGTGGGGCCATGCTGCCCACACCCTGTTGGGGAGGCTCCTTCTTTCACACGTGCCCCTACTGACCATCTCCTGTGCCTCTCAGGTGGCTTACTACAACCAGGCTATGCCAGGGTACCTCAACTATGTCACCACCAACGTGGCAGGACTGTCCTCTGACATCTGTGCCACCTTTGAAGCCTGCGAGAAGTTCCTGCTGAAGAACAAAGAGGACCTGATCTCACGGCTGCGGGACTTCTAGAGCCACAGCACCCTGCTGACAGATGGACACAGATGAAGGGGCACCTCCATGGTGGAAGGGGATGTGGATGGTGGCACCCAGACCCTGCCTCCCTGGGACTTGGGGTGGAGGGGTATTACTGTACCACCTCATCCCTTTGCACTGACGTGTCATATCTTTTCTTCTTTCTTTTTTTTTTTAATTTTATTTAGAAATTTTATAAGCCGATGTACAGGACTTGGTTTTCTTGTTTACTTAACGCTACTTGAATCTTTATATGATCCAAAATCTCACTAAACCAGATTTTTTTTTTTTTACTGGTTCTTTGTGGGGGATTACTGGTTCCCTTTGAGGTAGTAAAGGAAGAGAGGGGGCAGTGATATGGAGAGAGTGCTCTACCCCTCCCCAGTGCAGGGGTGGCTGGCAGTGCATCCTGCTCTCCCAAGTGCTGCTTCTCTTCCCAGGCAGGGCTGACAAACAGCCCATGTTCCTGCCAGGATGAAATCCTACCCCATGGGGCTGTGGAAGCAATAGCAATAAAAGTGCATTGAAAGGAAAAATATCCGTATGTGCTCTGGGTGAGTGTCTGCTGTGGGGATTTGCTGTTTCGCTGCCTGGATGGCAAGAATGGAGCAGGGATTGTCCACCCACAGCACGCCCCAGGCAGGTGCCATTTCCCTGGGCGAGGAGAGGGACGGTGCTCCAACAGCTGCTGCCTGGGGCTCAGGTGGATGAGGGGGATCCTTTGAGGCAGGACTTCATGCTGTAGGAATGGGGTGTCAGCCGGTGCTCCATGAGAGTGGCTTTTGGATACTGCCTGGAGGCATTGCTACCATGCCTGGGGCAGACCTGTGGAGCTGCTCCTTCATCCCTGTCTGCTGGGTGCACCAACACCTTGAGATCTAGCCCCCAAACTGCCTCAGGGGCACTGAAAAAGCAAAAAAACAGACAAAGCCAAACTTTGTTTCCCGAAGTCTGAGATGCTCTGAGAAAGCCACTGGAATGCAGCAGGGATGTGGAAGTGCTACTCATCAGTCACAGCCCAGGGGACATCTGCCCTCAGCCACAGCCCTGTGGAGAGCCCCTTCCCAGGCCTTCCTGGGTCACACAGCCAGAGGTTTTCTGATGGAACTGATGTTCTGAAGGGCTTGCTGCCTGCTGGGAGGGGGACAAGCCCCAGGAGACCTTGGGCATGTAGAACTTTGCTTCCAGAGCCCCATGAACTTAAACCCAAGGATGGGTTTTGCAGAGCTTAACCATGAGCAAGTGATGATGATGCTGCTCTCAGGGTAAGATGAGGCCATGGGGTACCAAAAACATGCACAGGGTTCTTTTCCAGGCATCCCTGGGTGTTTTTTCCTTTCTGCAGCGTCCAGTCCTTAAAAAGGCACTTTACCACCCAAATTCCCCACCTAGTTTATAAGCAGAAGCTCCTGCCCCTCTCTTGCAGCCACTGGCCAGTGGCTCCTAACCCTGGGCTGGCTGTGGCCATAAACCCCTAATCTCTCTCGTATTTCCCATCATAAACATCTCAGATCAAGGCCTGGCATGGCTCTGCCCCAACCTCCACAAGATAAAGCCACCTCAGGCTGATCATAGTACAAAATTCAATTTTTATAGAGCCCTCTTATCTCCCAAAACTCAGAGCAATCCTGCCTTTTTATCACCAGGACCTGAGACATCCTTTCTACTTACCGTTAGGAATTGCTGCTGCTTGATTAAGTGGAGGGGATGATGCATTTGCCTGAACATTAAACTTTAGCTGACCTCTCCTTCTCCTTAAGTATTGCGCTTTTTACCTCTGCGAGGCCATGGTCAGCCCTGGCTCTGGCCTGGCTGGGTCCCTGGGGATGCAGGGTGATAGAGCAGGAGCGACCTGGGGGTGTGACAGAGCACTACAGTGGTGTGAAATGTTTCATGGTTTACGTACATTTGGAAAAAAATTGCAGTCCTGCAGCACCTGCTGGCCCTCAGGCATAGGGGAGCATGGACAGCAGGACTGCGTGGCTTGGAGCATCCCTGGAGCACCCAGCTCCACTGCCTAATCCCACAGCCAGTTCCCAAGGGAGGAGAGACCTGCTGGTGGGTGCATTCAGAGCAACCTGCCCTTACCAGCCTTTCCCAGAGCCCTCCCTTCCAAATCCACCACTCCAGGACCAAATCAGCAATCAATCACCATTTTTTTTATTCGCTTAAAAAAAGGGGAGTTACTCCCCTGCTCTGAACAACCTTCCCAGATGTGGCTCCTTTGCACGAAAACACCCAGCTGCCTTGGTGCCCTCAGCTGCTAATTCCTGCATGGAGACAAACGATTTGGGGAGGCAGATCTGGGACCTCGGGAGCATCAGGGCTCCATGGCAGCTGCCCAATGCAGTGCCCATCACTGCCTTCCTGTCCAGGATGATGCAATGAAAAAAGCCTCACCAGACTGCCTTCCCTGGGCCCCTGCAGTGGACAGGGCTGCTGAAGGATGGAGCAGGAAAGCATCCCAAAAATTCCAAGAAGCTTTTGGAAAAGAAAAGATCATGAAGACAGATGGGAATTTACAGGCCAGCACTCCAGGTGGCATCCAAGTGCCTTCTCCAGTACGCTGCCATCATGAGAAGGTTTAAGGACCTGATTTTTTAGATGCCCAAATAAATACATGGAATTAATATATCATAATACAGTGTATACTTATCCATTTTGCAGGGGGAGTGGGATGGAATTAGAAGGCAGCGTCTCTTTTACGGCCATCCCCGCTGTAATTCATGCCCCGAGGTGATCAGACGAGGGGAGGAGAAAGAATTCTGCAGGCAGCAGTATTGATGGGCTACTCCTAGCAGCTTTGTTTTAATTAATTTCCAAAGTGCTCCTTGTAGTGGATCAGGCAGCTCCTTCAAAGCCTCCCTCCACCCACTGCTGCCTGTGCTCTCATGCTGTGCCAGTGCAGGGTCTGGGGCAGTGGGGTTCGCCTGGGAGTGTCCCTGCTCCTTCCAGCCCCCAGGCTTTTTTGGTTAAAAAGTGCAGAAGCTGTTGCTGCTTTTAAGCAGGGGGGGCTTCCCCCTGACCAAAGGGCCTCTTTGATGCTCACAGCATGAGCAGGCATATTTGTCAGGGCTTTTCTCTTCCTCTTTTTATTGACTTTCTGCTTGTTCCTGCTGCCAGGGGTCAGCTGGGGCGTTGGCTGGACTTTGCCAAAAGTCCACCCAAACCAGCCGGTTCCCAGGTGCTGACGCAGGGCCCTGCCCCTAACATACGAGGTATTTGAGCTCTGGGTTTGCAGCCCTTTTGGGTGTGTGGTGGGGGAGCTGGGAAGGGCTGTACCAGCTCCAAAGCTATTCCTGAGTAAGCGGGTTTGTGAACCTGAACTGCATTTGCCCTGCATCCAGTAAGGTTAGAGCAGTAACTGCAGCTCAGCACTGAATTTGGAGGTGTCTTGGCTGACATGGAGGGACCTGTCCCCATCCAGGACACCATGCCGACCGACACGGAGCCCTCCAACATCATCAAACTGCTGCACCTGCTTTTCCTCTCCACCTCCTGGGGAATGCAGATCTGGGTGACCTTTGTGGCCGGTAGGTTGGGGTCTGTGTGCACTGCTGTGGCTCTCTGCCCAGGTGGGAGGCCCAGGGAAGGGGGCTTTGCCCCAGGACCTACCATCTCTCCCCCCTTGTAGGGTTTGTGATGAGCAGACACCTCCCTCGCCACACCTTCGGCTCCATCCAGCGCGAGCTCTTCCCCTACTACTTCCACATCAGCTCCACTTGTGCTTTCCTCAATCTGACTCTGTTTGCCATGTGCCACCCCAGCAAGCGGCTCAGCGAGGAACACACGACCCAGGTAGCTGCCTCCCCCTCTCAAACACGAGCTGGCTGAGCTCAAACCCCTTCCTCTGCAGGGTCCCGCCCTGCTCTGCTCCACTGAGGCTGGTTTGCACACGATGTGAGCTCCACATGTGGCTCTGGTTAAAGAAGCCAGTTAGCACCCAGATTGCAGCGAGCCTTGTGTGCGAGAAGGGCTGGGGGAGAAATTTAACCCACAACAAGTGTGGGATGTTCACGGTGGGCTTTGCTCCCCCGCAGGTCATCCTCTTCTTCATTTGCATCGCTGCTTCTGTGCTGAACACACAGTGGTTCGGGCACGTCACCTCCGACATTGTGGCAGACCTGCACCTCGTGGAGCGCAGCCACGGCCTCGGGCAGGAGGTCGGGCTGGTGGCCAGCGAGTCCCGCAGAAACCTGCGAGCCTCCAACCCCAGCTACAGGCAGCTGTGCCGGCAGTTCGCCCTCTACCATGCTCTGTCCTCCCTCTGCAACCTCTGCTGCGTTGTGTGCAATGGCCTGAGCCTGTACCACCTCGCTGTCAAACTCTCTGCCCTGTGAGGGCAGGACACTGCGAGGCGATCGATGGCTGCCTGGCCAGAACCAACATACTGTGAAAAGGGAGCCATCCTGCTGCCTTACTGTGTAGTAACCCTGAGGTTTGGAGATTAAATTGCAGCATCCTCAGGTGGAGATACTCTTACTGTATTTGTGCATGGTGCAGAAATTCAGGAATAGTAAAATGAAAATGCTTTCTCTGAATCTGTCTGAAGGCAGCTTCTATGATCTAAGCAGGAGTGTTTATGGCTGAACAGCTTTCTAATGCCCTCTGCATTAGCTGTGTCTAAAGCTGCAGTGTATTTCTGCAGTCACAGAGAGACTGCAGAAGAGAAAGAAATGAGAGATTTAGAATTACTTTTAATTAAAAGCTGAAAGCTAATACACAAGCCCTGTATGTTGGCTGTATCAGTTAGTGTAATGGATAAGGCTGTTACGTTGGTGTTTACAATTACTGTTTGCCATTCTCTTCCAGTATTTCATGAGGTGAGAAAAAATATTGTCTCATTCATTAGGCAAAAGTCAATCTAGTTAAAATAGCCACGTTTATTCCAGGTTCTGTAGGACAATCAGTACAGTAGCAAAAGGGTCAGTAAAACACCGCTCCAAATCAGGAACTCTGCTGTACCTTGGCCAGCAGCAGAGCCAAGCAGTGACAAAACAGCAGCTGCTGGATCCCAGGCAGGGACTTGATTGCATCCACCCCGGTGCAACAGGCAGGTATTGCCCTAGCCCACTGCTGGCAAACCCCAGCAACTACAGCCCACCTCCGAGGAGATCTGTGATTCTTCACAGGTAAGGAACTACATTCCCAGCTGCTGTTGCTGAAACCACAGCCAGTGTTTGGCACTGCACCAGGTTTATTTCAAAACCACATGCAGCCTATCATAGAGGAGACCTTCTGCAAGCCAGCTGGGTTTCTTTTTAGACAAATAATCCCCTCATGTAAGCCCTTTATTCTCCTATGCTGCTTTCCTGGAAGTTTCCCCATGTGCCAAGATTATTTCTCTTCCCTGAAGTGTGCAAGGTGTTTTTGTTCAAGCAGAAGTTTGCAGCCTGTAGCTGGGCTAATGAACAGCAACCTCTTGCACAGGATTTCTCGTTTCACTCTTGCTCATTACAGTCGATGCACCTTCTTACCAGAGAAGTATTTCTTAGAGAAAGGAGAACGCTTCGCAAATACCAAAACTGTTGGAGTCCC